CACTTATAGTTCCTGAGATAAAATCGTGTTAAGTAATTTGGGGTAATTTATCAATTTTTCAATTTTTCTGAGTGCCTTTTTTCATAGATTTCGGCTTCAAATCTGAGTATAATTTAGTATATGGAGTTTGGGGGATCCCAAATGACCATTAGGACACAAAATCTCAACAAAAAAAAATTTGAAATTTCATCGTTTTAGTAAGAAGGTACCTACCTTATGATTTAGATTTTGGAAAACTTTGAAAAGTCATAACTTTTTTTCTATTATAGATAGAAAGCTGAAATTTTCACTGAATTTTATCCCTTCCAAAGGACTACAATCCCTGAAAATTTCAGCTCATTTGCACTTATAGTTCCTGAGATAAAATCGTGTTAAGTAATTTGGGGTAATTTATCAATTTTTCAATTTTTCTGAGTGCCTTTTTTCATAGATTTCGGCTTCAAATCTGAGTATAATTTAGTATATGGAGTTTGGGGGATCCCAAATGACCATTAGGACACAAAATCTCAACAAAAAAAAATTTGAAATTTCATCGTTTTAGTAAGAAGGTACCTACCTTATGATTTAGATTTTGGAAAACTTTGAAAAGTCATAACTTTTTTTCTATTATAGATAGAAAGCTGAAATTTTCACTGAATTTTATCCCTTCCAAAGGACTACAATCCCTGAAAATTTCAGCTCATTTGCACTTATAGTTCCTGAGATAAAATCGTGTTAAGTAATTTGGGGTAATTTATCAATTTTTCAATTTTTCTGAGTGCCTTTTTTCATAGATTTCGGCTTCAAATCTGAGTATAATTTAGTATATGGAGTTTGGGGGATCCCAAATGACCACTAGGACACAAAATCTCAACAAAAAAAAATTTGAAATTTCATCGTTTTAGTAAGAAGGTACCTACCTTATGATTTAGATTTTGGAAAACTTTGAAAAGTCATAACTTTTTTTCTATTATAGATAGAAAGCTGAAATTTTCACTGAATTTTATCCCTTCCAAAGGACTACAATCCCTGAAAATTTCAGCTCATTTGCACTTATAGTTCCTGAGATAAAATCGTGTTAAGTAATTTGGGGTAATTTATCAATTTTTCAATTTTTCTGAGTGCCTTTTTTCATAGATTTCGGCTTCAAATCTGAGTATAATTTAGTATATGGAGTTTGGGGGATCCCAAATGACCATTAGGACACAAAATCTCAACAAAAAAAAATTTGAAATTTCATCGTTTTAGTAAGAAGGTACCTACCTTATGATTTAGATTTTGGAAAACTTTGAAAAGTCATAACTTTTTTTCTATTATAGATAGAAAGCTGAAATTTTCACTGAATTTTATCCCTTCCAAAGGACTACAATCCCTGAAAATTTCAGCTCATTTGCACTTATAGTTCCTGAGATAAAATCGTGTTAAGTAATTTGGGGTAATTTATCAATTTTTCAATTTTTCTGAGTGCCTTTTTTCATAGATTTCGGCTTCAAATCTGAGTATAATTTAGTATATGGAGTTTGGGGGATCCCAAATGACCATTAGGACACAAAATCTCAACAAAAAAAAATTTGAAATTTCATCGTTTTAGTAAGAAGGTACCTACCTTATGATTTAGATTTTGGAAAACTTTGAAAAGTCATAACTTTTTTTCTATTATAGATAGAAAGCTGAAATTTTCACTGAATTTTATCCCTTCCAAAGGACTACAATCCCTGAAAATTTCAGCTCATTTGCACTTATAGTTCCTGAGATAAAATCGTGTTAAGTAATTTGGGGTAATTTATCAATTTTTCAATTTTTCTGAGTGCCTTTTTTCATAGATTTCGGCTTCAAATCTGAGTATAATTTAGTATATGGAGTTTGGGGGATCCCAAATGACCATTAGGACACAAAATCTCAACAAAAAAAAATTTGAAATTTCATCGTTTTAGTAAGAAGGTACCTACCTTATGATTTAGATTTTGGAAAACTTTGAAAAGTCATAACTTTTTTTCTATTATAGATAGAAAGCTGAAATTTTCACTGAATTTTATCCCTTCCAAAGGACTACAATCCCTGAAAATTTCAGCTCATTTGCACTTATAGTTCCTGAGATAAAATCGTGTTAAGTAATTTGGGGTAATTTATCAATTTTTCAATTTTTCTGAGTGCCTTTTTTCATAGATTTCGGCTTCAAATCTGAGTATAATTTAGTATATGGAGTTTGGGGGATCCCAAATGACCATTAGGACACAAAATCTCAACAAAAAAAAATTTGAAATTTCATCGTTTTAGTAAGAAGGTACCTACCTTATGATTTAGATTTTGGAAAACTTTGAAAAGTCATAACTTTTTTTCTATTATAGATAGAAAGCTGAAATTTTCACTGAATTTTATCCCTTCCAAAGGACTACAATCCCTGAAAATTTCAGCTCATTTGCACTTATAGTTCCTGAGATAAAATCGTGTTAAGTAATTTGGGGTAATTTATCAATTTTTCAATTTTTCTGAGTGCCTTTTTTCATAGATTTCGGCTTCAAATCTGAGTATAATTTAGTATATGGAGTTTGGGGGATCCCAAATGACCATTAGGACACAAAATCTCAACAAAAAAAAATTTGAAATTTCATCGTTTTAGTAAGAAGGTACCTACCTTATGATTTAGATTTTGGAAAACTTTGAAAAGTCATAACTTTTTTTCTAAAAAAGATAGAAAGCTGAAATTTTCAGCGATTTTTATTCCAGTAGAGGACTACAATCCCTGGAAATTTCGACTCATTTGGACTTATAGTTCCTGAGATAAAATCGTGTTAAGCAATTTGGGGTAATTTATCAATTTTTCAATTTTTCTGAGTGCCTTTTTTCATAGATTTCGGCTTCAAATCTGAGTATAATTTAGTATATGGAGTTTGGGGGATCCCAAATGACCATTAGGACACAAAATCTCAACAAAAAAAAATTTGAAATTTCATCGTTTTAGTAAGAAGGTACCTACCTTATGATTTAGATTTTGGAAAACTTTGAAAAGTCATAACTTTTTTTCTATTAAAGATAGAAAGCTGAAATTTTCAGCGATTTTTATTCCAGTAGAGGACTACAATCCCTGAAAATTTTGACTCATTTGGTCTTATAGTTCCTGAGATAAAATCGTGTTAAGCAATTTGGGGTGATTTATCAATTTTTCAATTTTTCTGAGTGCCTTTTTTCATAGATTTCGGCTTCAGATCTGAGTTTAATTTAATATATGGAGTTTGGGGGATCCCAAATGACCATTAGAACACAAAATCTCAATAAAAAAAAATTTGAAATTTTATCGTTTTAGTAAGAAGGTACCTACCTTATGATTTAGATTTTGGAAAACTTTGAAAAGTCATAACTTTTTTTCTATTAAAGATAGAAAGCTGAAATTTTCAGCGATTTTTATTCCAGTAGAGGACTACAATCCCTGAAAATTTTGACTCATTTGGTCTTATAGTTCCTGAGATAAAATCGTGTTAATCAATTTGGGATGATGATTTATCAGTTTTTCAATTTTTCTGAGTGCCTTTTTTCATAGATTTCGGCTTCAGATCTGAGTATAATTTAGTATATGGAGTTTGGGGAATCCCAAATGACCATTAGGACACAAAATCTCAACAAAAAAAAATTTGAAATTTCATCGTTTTAGTAAGAAGGTACCTACCTTATGATTTAGATTTTGGAAAACTTTGAAAAGTCATAACTTTTTTTCTATTAAAGATAGAAAGCTGAAATTTTCAGCGATTTTTATTCCAGTAGAGGACTACAATCCCTGAAAATTTTGACTCATTTGGTCTTATAGTTCCTGAGATAAAATCGTGTTAAGCAATTTGGGGTGATTTATCAATTTTTCAATTTTTCTGAGTGCCTTTTTTCATAGATTTCGGCTTCAGATCTGAGTTTAATTTAATATATGGAGTTTGGGGGATCCCAAATGACCATTAGAACACAAAATCTCAATAAAAAAAAATTTGAAATTTTATCGTTTTAGTAAGAAGGTACCTACCTTATGATTTAGATTTTGGAAAACTTTGAAAAGTCATAACTTTTTTTCTATTAAAGATAGAAAGCTGAAATTTTCAGCGATTTTTATTCCAGTAGAGGACTACAATCCCTGAAAATTTTGACTCATTTGGTCTTATAGTTCCTGAGATAAAATCGTGTTAATCAATTTGGGATGATGATTTATCAGTTTTTCAATTTTTCTGAGTGCCTTTTTTCATAGATTTCGGCTTCAGATCTGAGTATAATTTAGTATATGGAGTTTGGGGAATCCCAAATGACCATTAGGACACAAAATCTCAACAAAAAAAAATTTGAAATTTCATCGTTTTAGTAAGAAGGTACCTACCTTATGATTTAGATTTTGGAAAACTTTGAAAAGTCATAACTTTTTTTCTATTAAAGATAGAAAGCTGAAATTTTCAGCGATTTTTATTCCAGTAGAGGACTACAATCCCTGAAAATTTTGACTCATTTGGTCTTATAGTTCCTGAGATAAAATCGTGTTAAGCAATTTGGGGTGATTTATCAATTTTTCAATTTTTCTGAGTGCCTTTTTTCATAGATTTCGGCTTCAGATCTGAGTTTAATTTAATATATGGAGTTTGGGGGATCCCAAATGACCATTAGAACACAAAATCTCAATAAAAAAAAATTTGAAATTTCATCGTTTTAGTAAGAAGGTACCTACCTTATGATTTAGATTTCGGAAAACTTTGAAAAGTCATAACTTTTTTTCTATTAAAGATAGAAAGCTGAAATTTTCAGCGATTTTTATTCCAGTAGAGGACTACAATCCCTGAAAATTTCGACTCATTTGGACTTATAGTTCCTGAGATAAAATCGTGTTAAGAAAATTGGGGTGATTTATCAGTTTTTCAATTTTTCTGAGTGCCTTTTTCATAGATTTCGGATTCAAATCTGAGTATAATTTAGTATATGGAGTTTGGTGGATCCAAAATTTTTTCACAGAATCTGGCTCCAAAATATCATTTAGTAAAAAAAAAATAAAAACAAATTTCATTTCTGAAATGTATTTTTATTGAAAGCACCATAAAGCACATACAATTGTTTTACAAAAAGAAAAAAAATATAGATAATAATTACTGTAATATATTTAAAATAAAAACAAATTCTGAATACAATGAGAAAAATAATTAATGTTTTGCACTCCAATAAATAGAATAACACTGGTGTAAAAATAAATAAAATCTAATTGTAACATTTTTATATAATAAGGCCACTAAATATAACTCCTATATATAGAATATAGATATATTTATTTTAGCATTTAAATATATAATATAATTTCTTTTTAATTGAGTGACCTCAGACCTGAGACAATTCTTTAGAATGTAGATAGTACAACCAATACGTATTTGATGTCGCTACCTACATCATCCTGAAAAAATACAAAAATACAAAGTCACAAATATTACAAACAAATACATAAAAGCAGTACAACAATAAACCCTTATCCATTCATTATTGACTAGTGGCAGTTTGATGAGAAAGCTTTTGAGTAATAACTTATTAGTGAAATATTTAATTTTTCAGACACTTATGGAGTGCAGGTTTTTGTGAAATTTAGTCAATGATGGCTAGTAGGACCCGCTTGTAGTCTCCGGAAGTGTCGCCCTGCAAAGGGAATAAGGAATTTATTAGTAAAAGGGCAACCAACTACTGTATATTCTATTTACATGCAACCCTTTACCATTTCATGCAAATTAATGAACACTACTAGGAATTTGAAGATAATTTGAATCTCTCTTACTTTTGAAGTTTTAAGTAGATTTTGGGAGGTAACTTTGAAGCTAATATATACAAGGTGTCTATTTGCTTCAGGTGATACCAAAAAGTTACAAGTTTATGAGGCAATATTGGTGTTTTTTGATTATTACCGGCTCTTGATTGCTCCTAAATACTAACGATAGAAAATTTGAAGCCAAAATCTGTAAAAGTCAAAGTATGAACTATTACTGGCTCTTGATAGGTAGGTAACTATTCTCTAGACGTAATCAAGAGCTGGTAATAATCAAAATTTGAACTAAAAGTTCGAATCAAAGAGCCTATAATATTCTAAATCTTGATCATAATAATGGAGACTAAAAAGGTTTGCCAACCTTGTAACTTTTATGATTTTTAAATGACAAAAGCCTGAAATACAATCTCAGTTCCCATAAAAAGTTGCATACCTTTTATATTTTGGATGCGTTGCAGAAAAAGAAGAAAAGAAAAATGTAGACATAACACAAAATGCATATAAACAACAAAGAAGACCCCTTATTCTCACCTGGATCCAGCTTTCCAAAGCCTTGCCGTACTTGTCCAAAAAGGCCTGCTTGATGTCGGCCAAATCGATTTCGGATCTGGACACGATAATTCTGATCAGAGTCTTATCGTTTGTGCCCAAACCGGCCATTGAATCGTGAAGACGTTCAGCAAAGTAGCCTACTTTACTCTTGACACACTTAACTAAAACAATTATTGAATAATTTGGAATTGTTGTGTGGCAAAAAATAACTAACCAATTCCCAATAATCCTTTTTGGATGCTGCCAGAGAATTCTTTTTTGATTGGAGTTTCGATATCTTTACCAGTGAGGCGTTCGTATTCGGCAAAAGTGGCTCGGAGTTGCTGGTAGCTTCTAGTAATCAGGATGGAATTGAAGACGGATTCTTCGGTTCCCCATTTGGATTCGCCTGCTTCAATAATGGCTTGGGCGTCAGCTTCGGCTTGTTGCTCATTAACACCTTGGTTTTCGTCTCTGTTAGCCTACAGGGAATAATTGATTTATAATTGCAATTATGGTTTTTTGAGTTGTACTTACTTGGCACAGAGAAATCAAAAGTCTTTTGAAATGGCCGGATGTGTCGTCTTTTAAGTCTTTTTCTAATGGTTTTCCGTACACTGAAAAAAAAAATATGTAAAAATATATATAACAATAGTAAAATAGTTTTTACATTGTTCATAAAATTGTGCAATTGTCCTGATACCATAGTTGGACAAGGTGCATAAAATTTCAATGATAGCCTCTTCATCGGTACCAACACCAGATACAGCATCGTGAAGTTCTTTGGCATAGAATTGGGGCAAGGGAGTCATAAGGGCAACAATGACGTCCTCGAATTTGCCTCCGAGTTCGCTCTTTAGCTCAGAAATGAGGTCTTTGCCGTACGAAGTCTTGAAAGTTTCGGCGATTTCCAATCTTTGGACGATTCCTCGACGGGCCAAGACGTCGATGATGGCTTTTTCGTCGGCGCCGAAGCCCTTCATCGCCTTTTTTAGGGTCGCTGCATCGGCGACAGGGTCAAAGGGATCTGCTGGGTAAACAGTAGGAGTGCACTAGAAAAAAAAAACATGTTATTTTCAGTGACTTAAATCAAATATGAGTCATTTTGATATAAAAATGAGGAGTTTTTGAACTAATAAGTGAAGATTCTGACTTGATTGACTGACTAATTTAAATCAAACTACAAGAATAAGAAACAATAATTCATCTAAGTTCTGTGACTAAAGCACACCTTGAATTGTGTGCTAGAACCATCATTAATTCTTGGTAACCTTCCAAGCATTAGTCACCACTTTACCATATAAATATTCAATTCATTAGCGATTTCCCACAAAGTTTTACTGATTTCAAATTCCTTTCGTAGGAGGCGTATCAAATAATAATAATAATAAATGAATCGGCTTCTTGAGTAACTATCTATAAATAGATGTTTTAAATAGCAAAAATTTGTGGTGGCATTGAGGATGACATAATTCATAAAAAAGGGCGAACAAACTACAAACTCTGGTGCCAGAAAGTCTCGCTCCTATTGAATTATATTCTTGCCCCTTTGGACGAATAGTAGGATCGATATAGGGGTTTGCCCTTAACGAGTTTTAGTGCCCTATTTTACGATTTAATGGGGTTGTTTTTTGTTAACATGAACGTAAATGAAAACTTCTAAAAATCTGTTAAACATTTTTCTATCTAAAATCTAATTATCATGGTATAGTTAACATAGTGAGCAATATTCATTAGGTAAACAATTAGGTCAGTGTTATTTCATGACCTCATCCTGAAGATAATTCAACATTTTTGTCGCTCATTACTGTCACATTAAAAGATTTGTAGATTTGTAATAAAAGAGAATTATCAATATTTTACCTATTTGAAAAAAAACCGCACCCTAATAGGTACTATTATAACATTTAAGTAATAAACAATTGTTATTAATTTAAAAGAATTTTTCTTACCTTGAATGGGTAGTACTGTTGTTGGCTCATGATGATGATATCTTGTTTGTTAAACTACAAAAAAAAAAACAATTTTTAATCAGGTACCGGGGTACGACCTTAAGTCGACGAATTATCAGTCTCAACTAAAAGCCGCTCGTACCGGTTCAAGAATAAATACAAATGGTTTTGGTTAAACAACCAGTTACATCATCGTTTTAAATAAAACATTATTGCATTTACCTTGGGCTTATGAATGGTGAATAATAACAAAATATGCTGTGTATTTCGAAGAATGTTTGCCACAATTTCGTGATTCAAATTGTGTTTTATCAATGATTAGTCATGCTATTTTAATTTTATCATTGTTATAAAAATAATATTGGCATTTATTTAGCTTAGAAACAAAATTTTGTTTGATTTAGGGCCAAATTATTGACCAACAGGTAATGTGTCTGGTTGTTATACCTAGCCAGGTACTTTTTATTCTCTAGTGCATAGAAAGTACCTGCTAGGTAACAACAAGACGTTTAACAGTCAGTCCATAATTTGGCTCTAAGAGGTACATAATTGATTTCATGTTTCAATTTTTGTCTTATTCCAGGCTCTTGAATTTTCTTTATTTTTATTTCATGCCAAATTCATTTGATTTTCCTCATAATTAAAGTTTTGGAATTTTTTTTATATTGAAGCTATTAATTAAAGATTTGTAGAGAATTTAATTGGCTTTAATTGAAGCCTAATTACGTTGAGATCGGATTGAAATTAATAAAGTTGTGAGGCAGAATGTGTGTTGGTGTTATTTTGGAAAAAATCATAGTCAAAAGACTTTGAAGTTTGATAGCTGCAAAACTATTGAAGCTACATAGAGCAGGCGCTACAAGTAATTGGAGTATGCAAAATGTGAGGACCGGCAAAAATGCCACCCATAAGTTCCGCAACAATCCACCTATTTGTACTTGAAAAATAACTTATTATATAAAGTCAAAATTTGTAAGATTATGATTATTCACTTTTTGACAATTTGGCTATTAACAGGAATTAGTAATGTTACTTTACCAAACTAGTAACATTATGTGACAAGTTATTTAAGTACAAACGAGTGAATTGTTGAGGAACTTATGGGTGGATCCAGTCATCTTCTCATTAATATGTTGTTCAAGTACAATAATTACCTACCTGATTCACTCAGTTGTGAATTTTTCTCATTAATTCAAAAATTCTACGTTTCAGGTGAGTGTCTTATATGAATTGTACAGGTGAAAGCTGCAGATGAATTTTGAGGTAGGTACTTGGTTTCTCTGATAGTATTTTTAAAATTTTGAGAACCAAATATGTTGAAGACGGCTCAACCAAATACAGACAAACTATATAGTTTTGGAATCGGGAAGTTGTGCTCTTTAAGAATATAAAACCAAATATAGGGCATCCCAATTGAAAAAAGCTGAAAGCATGCAACATTTCACATTTCTGACATTCAATTTTTGTTTCTGACCATGGATTCTAGAAATTTAGCCAATACTGTACAACTTTTGTACTTACACCTTTCATCTACTTGTAAAGGTGAAGGCTGTAGGTGGGGTGTCAATATATAAAAAAACACCCTGTACTTGAACAATAACTTATTATATAAAGTCAGAATTTGTAAGATTATCCACTTTTTGTCAATTTACCTTTTAACAGGAATTAGTAATGTTACTTTACCAAACTAGTAACATAATGTGACAAGTTATTCAAGTACAAACGAGTGAATTGTTGCAAAACTTATGGGTGGACCTCTGCGGGACGAGCGCAGCGAGTTCCGCAGCCATCTATTCATTAATATGTTGTTTAATTACGATACCTACTAACCTGATTCACTCAAATGTGAGTTATTCTCATTAGTTCAAAAACTACAGGTTTCAGGTGAGTCTCTTTATTTGAATAATTCAACAGTATATTGGTGAGTAGATGGCTGCGGAACTCGCTGCGCTCGTCCCACAGATTAGAGGTTCGCCCATAAGTGCTGCAATAATCCACTTATTTGTACTTGACCAATAACTTACCTATATAACGTCAAAATTTGTAAGATTATTCACTTTTTGTCAATTTGCCTTTTAACAGGAATTAGTAATGTTACTTTACCAAACTAGTAACATAATGTGACAAGTTATTCAAGTACAAACGAGTGAATTGTTGCAAAACTTATGGGTGGACCTCTGCGGGACGAGCGCAGCGAGTTCCGCAGCTATCTATTCATCAATAATGTTGTTTAATTACGATACTAACCTGACTCACTCAAGTGTGAGTTATTCTCATTAGTTCAAAAACTACACGTTTCAGGTGAGTCTCTTTATTTGAATAGTTCAACAGTATATTGGTGAGTAGATGCCTACGGAACTCACTGCGCTCATCCCACAGACTAGAGGTTCGCCCATAAGTACTTCAATAATTTACTTATTTGTACTTGATCAATAACTTACCTATGTAAAGTCAAAATTTGTAAGATTATTAACTTTTTGTCAATTTGCTTTTTAACAGGAATTAGTAATGTTACTTTACCAAACTAGTAACATAATGTAAGAAGTTATTTAAATACAAACGAGTGAATTGTTGCGGAACTTATGGGTGGACCTCTGCGGGACGAGCGCAGCGAGTTCCGCAGCCATCTATTCATCAATATGTTGTTTAATTACGATACTAACCTGACTTACTCAAATGTGAGTAATTCTCATTAGTTTAAAGACTACACGTTTCAGGTGAATGTCTTACTTGAACAGTTCAACAGTATACTTGTGAGTAGATGGCTGCGGAACTCACTGCGCTCGTCTCGCAGAGGTCCACCCATAAGTTCCGCAACAATCCACTCATTTGTACTTAAACAATAACTTATTATCTAAAGTCAGAAAGTTAATTTGCCTTTTAACAGGAATTAGTAATGTTACTTTACCAAACTAGTAATGTAATGTGATAAGTTATTCAAGTACAAATCGTCCCCCTTATCACGTAGGAGGCGTATCTGTATTTTGCATTTTTTTCAGTAGAGAGGAAAAACGAAAATTGTTTATCTTTGATCCCTAACAAAATTATTTTATCTAATTTATTCCATAATACAGGGTGTCCCACGAGGTTTTTCCCAAATGATAATTTCAGAACGTATCATCGTATGTTCCACTGTATAATTTCCTGTCATATTCTTTAACAAAGCCTTAACAAATACGGCATAGCCGATTTTGTAATTCAATTTTCTAACGAAATATGCCATAATATACCATGAGTTACATTTAAAATTCGAAAGTTGACGTCACTTGACTGAAATTGAAGCAAAAATGGTGAAATTGGAACGTCGTGGGACACCCTGTATATTATTCTTATATGAGATGTAAAAACACATCTATTTTACAATTATCCACATACAATTCATTTAGATGTTATTCTTTTTTTTTTTTAAATAAATTTTGTAGATACGCCTTTACGTGAAAACTATTTTTTTCGCCATGTAAGATAGACAGCACATACGAAAAATTGAAAGCTTAGTATTTTGCTAGATAACTACTATTAGTTAGTTTTTGTAAATAATGAGTATTATATAGCAATACAGGAAGCAACTGAGACCAACGTTCTATTATAAAAAAAATTAAAAACTATAATAGTCCATTTTCATTATAAAAATTACTTACCTATTTAAATTTTTGGCAACTTTAAATTGGGACTTAACAACTTTAAGTCTGAGTCTGAAATAAAATTGATGTTTTCTGAATTATAAGTGATGCATTTTGAATACCTTTTGGTAAATCTGAAATATTTACATTTTGTGCTTTCTGAATTACTTTTGTTAAATCTGAATTATATTTGATGCTTCCTGATTTTTATTTGACTTTTCTGAATTACATTCGATGTTTCCTGAATTGCTGTGGGAAACGGTGTAGTTAAACTAATGGAAAAAAAGAATTTTTGCTGTACTTTTGAAAATCGTCACTTGTCTTATGTGATTTCTATAACACATGAGTGAAATAATCTGATATATTATTTCGTACATTGAGGCTGTAATTTCCCTCACCTCAATAAAATAAAGTGTTGTAGATATACCTAATCAATCACATCTATCTTGGTTTTAAGATGTAACATCGTCCGTGGGAAACTGCATATAATTTTGCTGCTCTATATGTTTGCGGAAATTTATCAAGCAAATCCAAATTTCTAGTTTGTTGCCAACACAACTTAAAACAGAATTCGTTCAGATGGATCAGATACGCCAATGCGTGTTTAACCGCTAAAGCAATGAACAGTGTGAATAAAAAATCAGTATAAGCTTTTTCCTATATTTTCGGAGCAAAAGTTAGATTTTCAGTGAATAAGAATAAGTATTAGCTTTTACTAAAAAGGATTGAAGCACAAGTTGAAGTGCTTAGCATTTTCTAAAAATGGTGTGAATAAACGCAAACAAATGCTCAATTTATTAAGCAAAAGCTTACATTTTCTCAAGCGTTACAAACCTGGCTTGAAAATGTGTAGTAATTGTGTTTAAAACTTCAGCAGAATGGCTGCATTTATGAATATTAGGTGTATAAAGCATTACCAACCTACCCGGTAAGCGGTAAGAAAGGAAAGTCGTTTCGCCCGAAGAATACCAATTACATGTATGTATAAATTAAGTTAGTGTTAAGTGTATACTTAGCTGAATACTCCTTGGGGAAAAAAGCAGATTAGAGGTGGCATTCCAAGAAAAAAAAATGCAAATATTTTTAAGCAAATATATAGGGTTTGGAGAAGAAGAAGATGTACATAAGAATAACAATATGTAAAATGATATCATGTCTTACCAAAAATCGACAAAAAGGGAGATACTTGGATTATATTTCCAACAGAAAAAAAATTCGATAGATTACTTTTACTGAATGGGCATCTCATTTTCCTATGGTATTATCTATTGGAGCAACAGATTGTACTGATTTTACCATGATAATTTTAATAGGAAAAGTGACTGAAGGAAAGATACAAACAAAGACTCTATTTGTCTGTTATCGCAAATATTTGTAAGTGAATGCTTAAAATATTCAGCTTTAGCTAGTAAGTAAAAGCATAAGGCATATTCACACCATTTTTGGCAAATGCTATTAGCAAAAGCTAAAACTACCTAGTAAAAGCTAAAGCTAATACTTATTAATACTAAAAGTGAAAGCTTTATTTTTATTCACACTGGCCAATATCTTGAGTACCACGTACAAGCGTGTATTTGCTTTTACGCCTATACGTGTTAAAGTATTTAAAGCCTTTTGCATATATGCCCAAATTGGTTTTGAATTTGTGAAACTACTATATAGTAGATACAGCT